TGTCGACAAACGAGCCCCAGCTGTGGGACAGGCGAGGCCGTCAGGACTTCTGTGCTTGATAGGAGACGCTCAAGTCTGGATGAGCCACGTGTCCATGGGTAGACTTCTACGCTCGCCAGCTAAGGCAGTGTGGGTCCGTCAGATCATATTAAATTGTATTTGACGTGGGGGCCACCTCATCTTCACGCACTCGATCTAGGCCATTAATTTGGTGGTTCCCTTGCCCTCGCTCATCAGTTTGATGTGTGATTGTGGCCCAAACTACTAAATGTTGGCCGTTTGTTTGAAATTCTGAACACCTCGCCTCGCTCGTGGCCGTTCGATTCGAACTGTCGAATCGAACCACCACAAGTGATCTGAGCCATTTGTCTTGGCTGAGATGGCGAATCTCAACTATTGAGAGCATGCCTATATAATGCATTTGTCTTCCTCGCTGGGAGATTACTGTGCTTTAGAATTTTTTCTTGCTCAAGCTTTTCTCAAAGATAACCCAAGCTCTCATCCTCAACTTCGAAGGAGATGGCTCCCAAATTGAAGATGCTTGCTTCTAAGGGGAAGGGGAAGGCTTCTTCTTTCACCGCTCCTGATGTTGCTGCCATAGCTGCCGCCACCCAAACGCATTCTAGTAAGTTTGAGAACTATTTGGACTAGTTGCGGAAGATGAACATCATTTGTTTATCTTCTACGGCGAGCTTCGTCTATTCAGACAGAGTTTTGTTATTCAGGTGAGCTTTACCTTTGTTAGGCGAGGTCTCATGTTTGGGTGAGTTTAGCTTTATCAGGCGAGCTCAGCTTTGTCAGGCGAGTTTTACTAGCTCGCTTATCTGATGGAGTTCGCCTGTACATGGCATGTCGCCTGTTTCAAAGACTTAGGAAATTTTTTGACTTTTGAGTTAAAAACTTCTAACTTCTTTTTGTCTTGTTTTGTAGTTGCATTTTTCGACGAGGATTTCCTGAGGGCCAGTTCTATTGGCCTTGCTAGTGGTACATGCTTCGTCGCCCGTAAAAGATTTCTGCTTCTCGATCCTATGCCGGTGCTTGTTGCTGACAAATCCCCTAAGCTGATAAGGAGAGTGTCCAAGGGACGCTATTTGACGCTACATGAATTGACCACTGACGCAGCACTGATGGACATGATGAGGAGAGAGTTGAGGAAGCCCCAGTTTCTCTTTGGTGAGGCCATAGCCAACCCCTCAGCTCTACTGTTCGAAGAGATCAAATGGCTCCAAGTTGTAGACGAAGTTCACTATTCCATCCCTAGCATGATGATGTTGTTTTTGATCATTGAGTTGTGCTCGCTTTCTATCTCGAGGATGATGAACTGGGATCTGACACCTACTCAGGATGGGGTGACCTTTGGAATCTTCATAAGTTCCAAGGCCGGATATGGTATTAACAATTCTTGCAAGTGTGTAACAGCTCCGCACCCTGGCCTACTACAGAGTGAGTTACCGATGAGGGAAACCGCTATGGTGGCAGAGACCTTCCGTCACCGTTTCTTCAGAGCCGGGGGGCAATTCCCTCTGAAAGACTTCAGAGCCCCGAGTGGATCCCCTCCTTAGCTGGAAATATCCCATGGTGGTATAGGATCACGGAGTTCATTCTGGAGGAGAACTCAGACATGCAGGGTTCAGAATTGTACTCTGCCATCAAGGCTACTTAGCATGGCCTGAAGATCAATGCCCCTTAGTTCCAAAGCATTTTGGAACTATATTGCCCGGACAGCGGCACCTTCTTCACACCCAATGATGAATTGGGTTTGGCACTTCATGAAATGTATGAAGTGTCGGGGTTGCTAATGGGGGATTTCCCCTATGAAGAATATGTCCCGAGCCAGCGAGAGATCGATTACCTCTCTGATAGGCTTCCTCAAGTGGTGGAGACCTTCTAGGAACTTCTCTACCACTACTACATTTGCCTAAACACCATCGTATTACCTCTCTGATAAGCTTCCTCAAGTGGTGGAGACCTTCTGCGGGAGATCGATTACCTCTCTGATAAGCTTCCTCAAGTGGTGGAGACCACTCTCATAAAGGCAAGAAGAAGAGGACCCCAGGAATCATCCATAAGAATTGGGCTGATTACCTCTTCCAACATACTAATGATAAAAAGTTGTCCATCATGCCGTCATACCTTTGTGATCAAGCAATAGTAGAGAATAGGATAGCTGAAAGTGGGGGTCCGGAAACTCTCGAATATGATGAAGGAGAGTTTAAAGCGGGAACAACTCTTGCATCGTTCCACCACCAAGCCAAGTTTTCGATATCTGCCAAGTCTCTGTTTGTCGGATATTTGATATTGTGGCTGAAAAGATGTGTGGTTCCCACACATTCTTTTGAGGTGATCCCTATGGAGGACATTTATCTTGCAGTTCGTTTGGTGTACAGGCGGTCATATGCACTGGTGTCGGCAATTGTGGCGTGCATACAGAGTGGTCTCCGAACCTTGGCGACACAGTTCTAAAAAGTGTTGTTTACCGAGGAGGAGGAAGGAGAAGAAGTTGCTAAAACTCCCAACCCTCACATCAGCTTACCATACACATATTTGATGACATGGTTTGTACAGCACTGCGAGTGCCTAATGAGCGTGCCAACGGCGTGTCGGGAAAGGTGGCTGGTCCCTTTCGTTCAGAGGTTAGAGAAGTCAACCTGGAAGTTCAAAGACATTGTTGATATAAGAAAAGCATTGTCCTTTTTCAGCAATTATGACTTCTACCGGTGCTTCCTATTCTTTGAGAAGGGAGGATACGGTGATTCCCTCCGGGATGTGTCAACCGGGAATAATTCCACTGCTCTATCTGTAGGCGGGTTCCGCTGGCTCGTGAACATTCGTTCGGGTTATCACATTCTTTGGATGGGCTCCGTGTGCTACATGGAGCCTTATCTCCCTAGTCATTTTTCCCTCCAATTCAGGTACGACCAATTGTATGTGGGGAACATCAACCCCAAGCTGCATTATGAGGGAGGGTTGGTTGACGGAGCACGTGGGTAGTTTTGGACCCACGGGGGATGCACCAACGCGCGGTTCGACTTGTCGCTCAGGGATCACACTCTCCATAATACCCTCACATATTGTAAGTGGTATCAGAGTACAAGCATAGCTCCAAAGGGGTTCAATCCCCATGAATCTTGTCTGACGGTGCAGAGGCATCGATCAAGAGCCGTACCCTGGCACTGAGGCAAGGAGGTCACCGTCAAGTTGAAGAGCCCGAAGTGGCTCTTACTAAAGAGGCTACCTAAGAAGCTTGGGAAGATGAGTTGTATGGGGGGTTGGGGAATTTTCACCTAACCCAATATGATCCCTCTCATCTGAGACTCAGCGGAGAGCAAGAGGCAACCTCAGAGTTGGCTAGAGTTGAAGAGCGTTTGGAGCAGGCTAGCGGCTACATTGCTAAACGAATGCAGACTTCGGCCTTCGCTCCTAGTTCCTTACCCCTTCTAAAGCTTAAGTGAGAGGCAAATGTTGGCGCTACCGTCGAGAGGGCGGCCAAGAGAGCCCGTTGTGAAGAGGTGGTAGCAGGTGCCGATACGAGGGAGGGTCAAATCGTAGCTGATCCCGCACTAAGTTTGGGAGCGGCCTTGTCCACCACCGAATATGTCCCACCAACTTTAGAAGTGCTGGCGATGACACTTGCTGCTTAACCACGAGTGCTGGTTCAACTTGATCGACCGAGCGCCTCAGAGGGTAGACACCTCTTTATTCTTAGTTTAGTTACAAAGTTGAAACCGACTGCCCTATATTTGTTTCAACTAAATGTAGGGACGACTGCTACAGTAGTCCTTGTTCCCTCAGATGAGGGAGAGGAAGAGGAGGAGCTGGTTGATTATTTAGGTGAGGATGACCTCACCTTTTGTCACTCTCCTGACGTTGAATCATCAGCTTTGGGCTTGGAAACCACAAGTCCTCTTCCCGCTCAAACGTTGTTTGCTTCCGCTTCATGTATCTCAAATCATTAACTTTCTACTTCTCGAAATTCACTTCAGTAAACAAGCTCCAACGACCCAAAATACATTAATTTACGAAAACATGAAAGACTCTAGGATTCGAACTAGAGACCCTTCTCTCATTGTCCAAGGCAACTAACCACTACAACCACTTTATCTTCTATGTCATACATGATTCAGAAAAGCTAAAGTTTGGTTTCCGGTCAAGTCCTAAATAACTAATCACATCAAAGAGGAAAACTCTACATCAAAGCCGGTTATATATATTGTCATAAAGTTTTATTTATTTACAGCTCATGCCATCAAAATATTTACAGCTCAAGCCATCAAAATATTTACAACGGATGCCATTCAACCTATTATCATATACATACACCAAGTTGATGACTTACAAATATTAAAATTTCATAGCAAAATATATATATAATTAAGTGAAAAATAAAATGTTTGCATGAAGGAAAAAAATCAAAAATAATAATCTAAAAATAATAATATTTGAGGAAAAGAATGCTTGCCGATTTGTTGAAGAAAAGACTATGAACCCCAAAAGAAAAATCCAAATTTCATCTCCTTCCCTCTTCTTCTTTCTCTTATTCCCGTGAGCTCTCTCTCTCTAATTTTTTTTTGGTTACTGTGAGAAAATTATGGAAGGGAGCTTAAAGAGAGAATAAAAAGAAATTTTGGGGACAAAGTGAGTGATTTTGGGAGAGAATAAAAAGAATTTTAGGGGACAAAGTGAGTGATTTGTGGGAGATAATTAGGGAGAGGGATTTTAGGGAGATATTTTGACTTAGTGGAGAGATAATTTCAAAAAAAATATCTTTCTCTCAAATTCTTTCACGTGAAAGAAGGAAAAAAAATCAAAGGAAAAGATGGAGTTTCATATATGGGCTTTCTAGAATTAGCCTTAAGAAAAATTGTTTTTTTTTTTCAAAACCTTACCTCATGTGGGCTAAAAAAAAGAACTTAGTGGCATAAAACAAAAGGATTATTACATCCTACCTACCTAAGAAAAAGAAAATTTCGTCCACGAAATTTATTCGACCATAATAAGAACTAAAAGTCACCTGTAGTAAAGAGATCTGGATAGCGTTGACGAATATCGTCCTCTCGCTCCCAGGTCGCCTTTCCCAGTCCATGATGTCCCCACGATACTAATACAAGAGAAATGGTTCTGTTCTTGAGGACCTTCTCCTGTTTGTCCAAAATCTTCATAGGTCGCTCCTCATATGATAAGTTCGTCCCAATCTGAAGCTCTGCGATGTCTAGGATGTGAGTCTCATCTCGTACATATCGTCGAAGCTGTGATACATGGAACACATTATGCACTCCCTCCAACGACGGAGGTAAAGCTAGTCGGTGGAACACATTATGCACTCCCTCCAACGACGGAGGTAAAGCTAGTCGGTATGCCACCTCTCCTACTCTCTCCAATATCTCAAAAGGACCAACCACCTCTCCTACTCTCTCCAATATCTCAAAAGGACCAATGAAACGTGGACTAAGCTTCCCGCGGCTACGAAATCTGATAACTCCTCTGGTTGGGGATATCCTTAAGAAAACATGCTTTCCAACCTGAAACTGTAGAGGTCTCCTCTCAGCATCAGCCCAACTCTTCTGCCTATCTTGAGCTGACTTAAGGCGCTCCCGTATTGCCTTTATCTTGTCTATTGTCTGCACTATCGTCTCAGGACCTAGCAGACGCCGTTCTCCCATGTCATCCTAACAGGTAGGAGATCTACATTTGCTCCCATATAATGCCTCATAAGGTAGGAGATCTACATTTTCTCCCATAAATTATTTAAGGGGGTATTTTTCCCTGTGTTTTTCCTCTCACCGGTATTTCACTTTGTATCTCTCTCTCTTCATCTCTCTCTCTCCCCTACCCCACTTCCCCAATTCACTCCCTAAATCCCGCACTCCCAACACCTCGTGTTTCCCCCCAACTCCTCCTCAAAAATCCCCCACGTCACTCTCTCTCTCACTCAATCTCACTCCCATTTTTCTCTCTCTCACACTCAACCCACATCACTCACGTGTCTCTCTCTCTCTCACACACCA